ATGGCTTTGGTTGGTTGTTCTTTTTCACTGTACGTCCGCAGACACATTCTGACAGCACTTCAGACAGCAGCTTTGTGCCCCGCCAGCTGCTTGTTCCATCCATGCCTACCATGGTGTTTTTGTACAGACAGCACTTCAGACAGTCGTATTTATCGGACGTGCAGTTCAGTTTTTGGGCACGCATAGGGTGCTGCAGGGATTTTTAGGTGTACCTCTTCGGGCTCTTGGATACCTTTTTCTCGTTATATGTGTGCGTGCTCTTTAGATCCTCAGATGGCTCTAGCACTTTCGTGACCACGGGCTGAGAGTCTTTTGCTAGATTTTGGCAATTGGCAACTGACATACGGTTTAATGTGAAGACAACAACAACAACCACCAAGGCGACGGTGAAACGTGGAAAGAAGGAACTTCGGAAACTCCGAAAGCGGAAAAACAAAAACAGAGTGAACGCTAAGTGATTACATTTGTCTCGGTGTCACTGTCGCACCGCTCCACCGCCGATCTCAACCGTTAACATCATTGTGCACATATCATGGAGTGTCCATGAAGTGCCATGGACATCCACATTGTGCCATGGAGTCCCACGGGGGGCCATGTTCAAATCTGAAGACGAACTACTGCTGTACACGTCATTCATCGGTCGATGGCCACATAGTCTAGACCTTTCGTTCGCACAGAGAGCTGGCGCGCCGGCGCCTCTCTCTCTTCTCTCTCTCCCTCCCTCTCCCTATGTTTCTTATTCATGGTTCCAATTGTTGGCTCCATGGTCCACCTCTTCGCTGTTTTCCTGTCGAAACCGCTCTCTTGGTCAGGTATTGCCCGCTGCCCTCGGATGGACGCAAATTTATTACGTGCGGATTGACGCAAGATACCTTACCCCGGCAACCAATTTTCCAAGCTCGATTGCTCCACGACCCATGAATGGGACATGCGAGCACCACTCACGTCTGTCGGAAAGCTCGTGATCAGACGGTTCCAACGCCACCGTTGTGGGTACCGCTGATCAGACGTTGTTCGAAAATTCATTCAAGGGGTGCGTTCTGTCCTGTGTTGCCACGGCGGTATGTATGTATGTTGTTGCACAAAGGTAAATGTAGTCTAAAATAAGCAAAATATTCAACTCATAAATCAAGACATCGAGGACAGAGGCTTTCCACCCCCTACCTATCGTGTCGCGTCCTCTTGGCCACCAGAGCGCCTTGATAGGGTAGGAAGACAAGAGCCGTTTGGGACTGATGTGACAGCGTCATTGCTGTGGGCGCGCGCGCGGCGGGTAGCAGTAGGAGAAATACAGCACAATTGACGGACAAACAAGAAGGGAACATAATGCCGGTGACAAAATATTGCCGGTATGTTGATACTGATGTTTCAAAAATGGTGAACATTTTCATTGCTCCAAGAGCGTGTGCTATCAGTACGAGTCGTCGAACCTCTGTGGGCAAGGCATTCACAGGGCTCCACGTCCCTCCTCTCCGTGCCACCGCTCGATCAGCAAATGTATGACTGGAAATGTCCGTTTCCAAATCCCTGCTCGCGCTGCCAGGCACACCAGCCCGAACCCTACGTGCGAGCAACCATTGTACAAGTATTGCGCCGCCTTTTCTGTTCTGTTTCGCGCCCTGTTGCTCTTGCCTAGGCGCGCACATCTACGGGCGACAGCTACACGCGGGCGAACGGAGAACGGCTGAGATCAAAAAGGGCGAGCCTGCAGCACCACACTCCTGCCAGCAGATAGAGGTGAGAGAGAGTGCCTGTGGTAAGATGGCGGTCCGTCGTTGCAGCGTTTTGGGATTGAAGATGAGCATCTCGCCTCGAATACATCACGGCAGCCGCGGCGGGGTGCACGTTCTCCAGCGCAGCAAAAGAAAGGGTGAGAGGGCGGGAGGCGAGATATCGCGAAGCATCCTTGGGGCGGAAGGCAGAGAGTGCGGGACAAGGCGTGCTTGAGAGAGAAGCAAGAAGTGTAGTACAGTAGTGCCTGGCGGGGGAGGGCGTTGTGTCTTTCGTGTCCCGAAGGACCGTCAACAACTTCAATTGCATCTTCCCATTGGTCACCCACAGGTGTGTCCGGCAGCAGTACATTCAACACCAGCCGCTGCTGCCGGGGGGAGAAAATCGCTGAAACACAGAACAATATACACAGAAACGCGCTGACGTGCTGCACATAATGAAGCCCGTCGCAGTCGCAACGCGGTGTGAAGGGTACAAGAAGGACACCAATTGGTCGTCGGCTCCACCCACCCGTTGCATGGCTTGCCGTTCGTGATCCCTGCAAGTAGAAGGCAAATCCTTGCCCCAAACAATCATCATGCACAGCAGTTTCGTTCATGAGGTGTTCATGGGAACAAGCAAATACAATGCCGTTGATCCGATGCTGGTCTGTGGCTTTTTCCGCTGTACCTCCTCACTATGTAGGCCTTTCGCCGGATTCTGTCACCGCCTACTGTACCTACCCTGCTGCTTGCGGCAAGCTACGTGTTGGGCGAGATAGTGAACCCGCAACCGACGAGCTGTCCTTGGTGCTCTTGCTGTAGGGTCCACCGGCTACAATCCCTGCCGTAGATGGTTGCCCGTGGTTGTTCGTGACCCCAGCTCCTTCGCCACATCCTCGGGTCGTTGCGCTTTCTCCAAGGAGGAAATTTATTCGAGCGAAGCGAGATTTCTAATCTTGCCTGAGAGGGCTCAGCGCAATATAGGGGCCGATGCAGGAAAAAAAGTGCGTGCGTGTGTTGTGTTCGCTTAAACTAGGTTTTAGAGTACAGGACTTGATTTGTGACTACAGGGCGCACTTTTTTTTTTTACACAGCAGAGCAGCAAACAGCAACAGCAGACAACACGCGCTCAGCGAGCAGACTGAACACACACGCACAGCAGACAACACGCGCTCAGCGGGCACAGCGACACACCAACAGCGCAGAGCGGACACAGCCACAGCGGCCTGCATGGCATGGCAATTGCATGATGAGTAGACGTCCGTTGGGGCCGATTGACCCGAACTCCCTCCGTGAGGCAGAGACGCACACAGACTCGCGGCGCAGACAAAGCCACGGGGAGAGGGAGCCCCTAGGCAGCCCACAGCTTGACCGGGCGAGAGCTGCTGCTCGTCAGAGGACTGCCGCCAGGCGTGCGGCGGAGACCGATGGAGCACGGGCAGAAAGGTGCGTTGCGTGTGCGTGCGT